ATCCTGAGTCTCTGTGATGGATATGGTGAGCCTCTATGATGGATATGGTGAGTCTCTGTGATGGATATGTTGAGTCTCTATGATGGAGATGCTGAGTCTCTGTGATGGATATGGTGAGGCTCTGTGAAGGATATGTTGAGTCTCTGTGATGGATCTGTTGAGTCTGTATGATGGATATGTTGAGTCTCTGTGATGGATATGTTGACTCTCTATGATGGATATGGTGAGTCTCTGTGATGGATATGGTGAGCCTCTATGATTGATATGTTGAGTCTCTATGATGGATATGGAGAGTCTCTGTGATGGATATGTTGAGTCTCTGTGATGGATATGGTGAGCCTCTATGATGGATATGGTGAGTCTCTGTGATGGATATGTTGAGTGTCTGTGGTGGATATGGTGAGTCTCTGTGATGGATATGTTGAGTCTCTGTGATGGATATGTTGAGTCTCTGTGATGGAGATCCTGAGTCTCTGTGATGGAGATCCTGAGTCTCTGTGATGGATATGGTGAGCCTCTATGATGGATATGGTGAGTCTCTGTGATGGATATGTTGAGTCTCTATGATGGAGATGCTGAGTCTCTGTGATGGATATGGTGAGGCTCTGTGAAGGATATGTTGAGTCTCTGTGATGGATCTGTTGAGTCTGTATGATGGATATGTTGAGTCTCTGTGATGGATATGTTGACTCTCTATGATGGATATGGTGAGTCTCTGTGATGGATATGGTGAGCCTCTATGATTGATATGTTGAGTCTCTATGATGGATATGGAGAGTCTCTGTGATGGATATGTTGAGTCTCTGTGATGGATATGGTGAGCCTCTATGATGGATATGGTGAGTCTCTGTGATGGATATGTTGAGTGTCTGTGGTGGATATGGTGAGTCTCTGTGATGGATATGTTGAGTCTCTATGATGAGATGCTGAGTCTCTGTGATGGATATGGTGAGTCTCTGTGATGGATATGGTGAGTCTCTGTGATGGATATGGTGAGCCTCTATGATGGATATGGTGAGCCTCTATGATGGATATGTTGAGCCTCTATGGTGGATATGTTGAGTCTCTGTGATGGATATGTTGAGTCTCTGTGATGGACATGTTGAGCCTCTATGGTGGATATGTTGAGTCTCTATGATGGATATGTTGAGTCTCTATGATGGATATGTTGAGTCTCTGTGATGGATATGTTGAGCCTCTATGGTGGATATGTTGAGTCTCTGTGATGGATATGTTGAGTCTCTGTGACGGATCTGTTGAGTCTCTGTGATGGATATGTTGAGCCTCTATGGTGGATATGGTGAGTCTCTATGGTGGATATGGTGAACCTCTATGATGGATATGGTGAGCCTCTATGATGGATATGTTGAGCCTCTATGATGGATATGTTGATCCTCTATGGTGGATATGTTGAGTCTCTATGGTGGAGATGTTGGGTCTCTATGATGGATATGTTGAGTCTCTATGATGGATATGTTGAGTCTCTGTGATGGAGATCCTGAGTCTCTGTGATGGAGATCCTGAGTCTCTGTGATGGATATGGTGAGCCTCTATGATGGATATGGTGAGTCTCTGTGATGGATATGTTGAGTCTCTATGATGGAGATGCTGAGTCTCTGTGATGGATATGGTGAGGCTCTGTGAAGGATATGTTGAGTCTCTGTGATGGATCTGTTGAGTCTGTATGATGGATATGTTGAGTCTCTGTGATGGATATGTTGACTCTCTATGATGGATATGGTGAGTCTCTGTGATGGATATGGTGAGCCTCTATGATTGATATGTTGAGTCTCTATGATGGATATGGAGAGTCTCTGTGATGGATATGTTGAGTCTCTGTGATGGATATGGTGAGCCTCTATGATGGATATGGTGAGTCTCTGTGATGGATATGTTGAGTGTCTGTGGTGGATATGGTGAGTCTCTGTGATGGATATGTTGAGTCTCTATGATGAGATGCTGAGTCTCTGTGATGGATATGGTGAGTCTCTGTGATGGATATGTTGAGTCTCTATGATGGATATGGTGAGTCTCTATGATGGATATGGTGAGTCTCTGTGATTGATATGGTGAGTCTCTGTGATGGATATGGTGAGTCTCTGTGATGGATATGGTGAGTTTCTGTGATGATATGGTGAGTCTCTGTGATGGATATGGTGAGTCTCTGTGATGGATATGGTGAGCCTCTATGATGGATATGGTGAGCCTCTATGATGGATATGTTGAGCCTCTATGGTGGATATGTTGAGTCTCTGTGATGGATATGTTGAGTCTCTGTGATGGACATGTTGAGCCTCTATGGTGGATATGTTGAGCCTCTATGGTGGATATGTTGAGTCTCTATGATGGATATGTTGAGTCTCTATGATGGATATGTTGAGTCTCTGTGATGGATATGGTGAGCCTCTATGATTGACATGTTGAGCCTCTATGATGGATATGTTGAATCTCTATGATGGATATGGTGAGCCTCTGTGGTGGATATGGAGACCCTCTATGATGGATATGGTGAGTCTCTATGATGGATATGGTGAGTGTCTGTGGTGGATATGTTGAGTCTCTATGATGGATATGGTGAGTCTCTATGATGGATATGGTGAGTCTCCAAGGGAGGCTGCTTCCCCCAATCCTGAAACTGGCTGTGAACGGCAGCACCATCCACACACAAATCAGCATACACTTCGGAAAGAGACGTGCTCTGACGAATGACGGCCAAGTACCACTCATCGGATTTCGTTACATACATATTATCGCACTCTAATTTTGTAGATCGATACTTATGGTGTCCAGACTCGACTGTCAGACACGATTATTTACAGAACGCAGTCATATGATGGAATCAAGACAAACAACAAGCCAACAAACATCAGCAAATATGTTAGAACAACTATTGTTGCAGTTCATCCTCGATAATCCAGTGTATGATACCCTGAATCAATTCGCCATGTAAGCGTCGTTTTAGAATTGACGTCATATCTTTTTCTCATGTGAGTAAACTCGCACTCAATTTCTATCGCTCATGGTTGTAACCTGATTGGACGGTTGTTTTTTCATATTCTTTGTTGAATCTTACACAATACGAAGCTATATGGCGAATGAGTCCAGGGTAGTTGTCGTTACTAGAATGGGTCCAAAAAAGATCCGGGTTCGAATAGTTCTACAGCAACCCATACTTGCCGTAAAAGGCGACTATGCTTGTCGTAAGAGGCGGCTAACGGGACGGGTGGTCAGGCGCGCTGACTTGGTTGATGCATGTCATCGTATCCCAATTGTATAGATCGATGCTCATAATATCAATCCCTGGATTGTCTGGTCCAGACTCGATTATTTACAGACCGCCGTCATATAACTGGAATATTGCTGAGTGCGGCATCAAACCACAAACAAACAATTATAAGTACTGTAATGTAAATGTCATGAATGATATTGCTTGTTGAAAGAGGCGAACTACTGTATTGGTTGGTGACTCTCGGTGACTTCATGTCAACCTGTTGTACAACGACGACGAGGGACGTTGCTCATGATATAAATCACTGGTTTGGTTGACCCGTCTATAAATAGCCAGAGTTTGGGTCGGGCGCACCAATCATTAACAGCAAGCGTAACGTTCACACCGTCCGGGTATTGTTGAAACGTGATCATGCGGGACCAGATATCACAAATTGATCACCTTCTCTTATGCATTGTGTCTTTGAAAACTGTTCTGTTCTTTGCGATTAATACGTTCATTCATTTATCTTTTGCAGGATAAATATTAAGAAATTGTTTACAAATAAGCACAATCCGTGTATCATATTCTAGAAATTAGACGATGTTATACTATAAACTGTCCATGAAAACAGTGTCTGCCACTGAAGGTCTCTATGGGTTAAATGACTTTGGGGATTGGGGGAGGGCGGGGGATATTGATGGCTGCCTGTTGTACCTACACATATTCATATTCATGTACATGTGTGATACTTGTATCACAAAATAATCACATATACATGATCGTAAATTCAAGCACACGCAAGAATAGTACTGCGTTTAAAAAACTCACAATGCGGCCAATTCCATTCATCAAGTGAACGTACATGGTCCTACAATAGTATACCCTGGAATTTTGAACAGTGTGACACATGCAAATTTCATTCTCAGCCTCCTGGGGAGTATACAAACCTAGCTGCTGTATGAGGCACTAGAATATGTACATTACCATCTCATCTACCGGGCACCCATTCGCTGATTGGTAAACTGAGGCATATTTAAAGTTTCCTTTCTGGGACGATATCACATGTAACCCGAGTTTCAGCGTTGGGCCGAAATCCTAGACATTCTCGGGAATCAAGCTTCCATTAATACGTACTGTTTAGATACATGCTGTTTTACTGTTCTCTCATTGACATGCTCGTGGTTCTCCAGTTCAGACATGCATCTCGTTTACCTCATGATGCAAAATGTAAAGACGACATATATGTGAATGGAACGAAAATATAATAGTCTTTCCATAAGAAATCGGTATTACAATATACATTGTTTAAGTCGTTAATACTAGACTTGATCTATATAAAAAAAAAACACTCAGTTTTTCAGGGTTTTACTTTCTATCGTCAACCTTGATGCTTCAAGCACCAACAGACAAAATATGTTTCAATTTTGAAAAGAACAACACATTATATGTGATCAACCATGAGAGAAGGTTGTTGTTTTGTGTTTTTTTGTTGTTTAACGCCGCACTCTATAATCCAGTTTATATGACGGCGGTCTGTAGGCAATCCAGACCAAACAATCGCAATTGGAATACGAAGACATGCATCAACCAATTCACCCGATCCCGTTTGTCTACTTACGACAAATACAGTGGCCTTTTACGGCAAGCATGGGTTGCTGAAGACCTGTTCTATCCCGGATCTTCACAAGTCCATGAGATAAGGGACCTGATGGGTTTAAAATCACGTTTTGACTTCTCATTATATTTTAAAACAAGGGGGTCTTAGGAACACAAATATACAATTCACAAGCTTCAATACATATTTATTACAGAGATACATTGCATCAAACATTTGGACACATTTTCTGCAAAGTCCCATTTGCAGAATTATAACTGTTTATGTAATGACAACGGTTTTTAGAAATGATGCCTGATTAATGGAAACTAAACGTGTTGCAATGGTTTTAAATGAGATTTTGTATTTCATCACGAACTAACGAGAGAAAAATACTATATTCTTGAACAGTCCACACACATGGCGATTTTTAGGACGTCACAGCAGAATTGTTTCCTTTTTCTCTTGGTCGGTTCGAAGCTTCAACCCAACACCCCCAACTCTACCGCCCCTGAGGTCAAAACGAAATATACAGTTTCTAGGTTTCAAATATTGTCCATGTTATCATTACAAGGTTGTAACCCGCTTACAATGTAGCTACAACCGTGGTGTAATGTGGATTTGTAATAGGTGTAACCATACAACAACCGTCATTACATAGCATCGCATACGATCGAAGCAGTACAATGTGTAAATATGTAACAGTCTGTCCTCATTTAAACAGAATATATTTATATAACGTTCAAAAGGGAGTGTGTCTTTTGTAAAGACTCTCGAGGTTATAAGAATATATTCCATCGGTACAACAGAAGTACGAGTGAGGTTTTACTTATTTCCCCTTCAATACTCCAGCGTCATGACGCGAACCCTAACGCGAACCCTCACGCGAACACTCACGCGAACACTCACGCGAACACTCAGAAAATGATTCATACATTGTAGCCCCACGGGTGATCGAATCTGGTGTGACCTGAAAACACTTTAAAAACACAGCTTCCGTACACATGCGGACAGAAGCAATAGCAATGTTTAACAGAGATTACGGTGCCATCTGTTTAATATGGTGCCAGCTGCGTGTAGGGTGGTGGCATACCGCCATCTACGTGAAATGGCATCCCTGGTCTCGATCCATGTGTCAGATACACAGGATGCGCGCGCATCTGCCCTTGGCCGTAGGGGCTCCTGGCGATGTAGACATCTTGTGAGTTCATGATTTGTTTCAATTCATTGCTTTTTTTCTCTTTCGTCATTTTTTGTGCTGGCCTTGTCCTAAATGTGTATCTATAGTAACTAAATTTCCAAAAGCAGACAAGACTTGTCACTACGATAAAGCACTCAATGACAACGTCCACAACAGAAAGCGCCAGGTTAGCTCGCATCCTTGGCATACACAGATCGTTAGAAGGGTTCCCGTCCGTGCACATGTAGGCCACGTATCCGGCCAGCGTGAGACTCCCAACACTCATACACAGACACGCGATGGTTAGACATCCATAGGCCAGTAACTGCAAACCAAATAAAACAATGTATCACATTTTATGCTGGAAATATAGAAACAAATACACGCACGGTAGCACGCACGCACGCACGGACGCACGAGCGCGCACACGCACACCCATAAATTCTTGCTTATACATCGCTATATAAGTGCAATAAATTTGAACGCGACGTTAAACCCTATTTCACATTGACTATTGTCCGGTCCGTTGACTTTGACGTTGACGTTGACGTTGACGTTGACGTTGACGTTGACAAAACCAATCAAACGTAAAAAGTACGTGAAAGTATTTACCTACGACAGCTTCTGGAATGTAGCTACAAAATCAAATTTAGACATTCTTTCTTTCTTTTGAGACCGCCTCCGTGGTCTAGTGGTAGAGCGTCCGCCCGGAGAGCGGAAGGTCCGGGGTTCGATCCCCGGCCGCGTCATACCAAAAGACGTTAAAAGATGGTACTTGTTGTTACCCTGTCTGGCGCTCGGCATTAAGGGGCTAAAACAAGGACTGGTCGGCTCGGAGACAGTATACTATGTCTGAGTGGGGTATTCATGTTAAACTGCGGCATGGTATCTCAGTGAGCTAGCACTATAAATCGGCATCAGTCCGGACTAGTACAGGCAGCCACACAAACACACACACACGTACATGCACGTCGCTATATAAGTGCAATAATCTTAGACGCGACGTTAAACCCCATTTCACCTCACCTCACCTCTTCCCTTTGAACAGTATTTCAGCTATAAAACGGCGTGCCTGCTAAATGCGGGGCAAAGCTGAAAGCGAGGCAGATCGCAGACATTTACCTGTCAAAGCTTGTGTACAGATCTCACACACCAAGGATCATTATCTCGGTAGGAGATTCGAATCTTTGCAGGGTCAACGTTGGAAGGGGAAAACGTATTTTGCCCTTCATGATCAGATCAAGGGTGTAATTACCGATATACTATTTAGATAACGGATAAACAGTGACACAATCACTGACTCATTTATCCACTCACTAACTCACCAAACGCTGCGTGTTCCGTGTCACCTTGCCGCCACGAGTGTTCGAGTAGATGCGATGAGCAACACCACCTGCCGTTATACACTGCCAAGGTCAAGCAAAAACAAGAGGATTATTTTCAAGGCAAAGATAGGCACTTCCGGTTCCGTATGACGAGCTCGTGGACTCCATACTCCGGTTAAGGATAACGTCATCCACTTAATGAAGTAAGGGTAAATATAAAATATTTAAGGGATTATGTTTATTTTTCTGTCTGAATTAAGAGTTAGCAATTTTGACTTGACTTCAAGTTTTCGGTCACAGAAACCATAATGCATTCCTGCCGGTTTCTGGTTTTGTCCCCACAATAAGCCGACACATTATTGTCTAACTGAAATATTTTTCAAAGCCGCCTTAAACAAAGGTCGGTTCAGTTGTGGTAAACTGAGGCCAAGACGAATCCTCATTCTATTTATTAACACAATGACAATCTCTGATCGCCCACTGTTCATTCCTCCTAAAGGAAAGACACGGGAAAAGGGTTCAATGTGTTGTAGAATGTTGAAGGGAACATCAACCCGGTAATTCTCACCGTTACTCCTGTCCATATGTCTGCCCCAATGTAAAACGGAAACTGCAGCTTGACTGAAGCTATGAAGACGGTCACTATCCCCGCCAAGGTGGCAAGGACGCCCAGTGCTATTTGTGGCACAGCAATATGGCTGAGGCAGCGGCTGGCGTTGTTGCGTTGATACAGCACAGTGCCTGTAACGTTAAAATGTGTACTTGAGTAAGGGGGTGATGGCTGTAAGCGAATTTTCTTTACCTGAGCCAGGGAGACGATTGGCTGACTTTGCTGGCAACAGTCTACGCTGTCGGGGGACGGGGACACAAAAGACATCCAAACCTCATTTAAGTCGAACCTTTCGAGCCCTTTATGAGAAAGTATGATGATATATCTACCTACATTGGCCTCCACAGGAGATATCGCTTGGGTCAGATCACGCGATCCTCCTAGGTTTTGTGTTTGTTTTTTGTTTGATGCGGAATTCACCAATATTCCAGCCATATAACGGCTGTCTGTACACAATCGAGTCTGGACCAGACAATCAAGTGATTGCAATTTGGCATCATGAGCTTCGAATTATACAATTGGGATACGATGACATGCATTAACCAAGTCAGCGAGCCTGACCACCCGATCCCGTTAGTCGCCTCTTACGACATAGTCGCCCTTTACAGAAGTATGGGTTGCTGAATACCTATTCTATCACAGATCTTCACGGGTCTCCCAGGAGGTATCGCTGCCATGAAATGGCATCCTAATGCTTTGCAGACAATTGTGATGCCATCGGTTACCATGACGTCGCAGCAAAAAGCATCTGCTGATGAAGTTAATTAGCTTTTCATTTTACACTCAATACATTACTTATAACTGTTTTTAACCGAAAACATTGGAAGATTGATGGTTAAGGATCAATAGAATCTCACCTCGTGTCTTTTGATATCAAATATATCAACACTCGTCGGGAAAGGTTCATTGGCAAGTCTCGATTTTTTAAGCTTTTATCCTCCCGTGTCAAACGATTGGGTGAGATTCGTTATATAATCATCACGGAATGCAGTAATAGATTAGCAAATTGATGTTTGTATTTTGTTTAACGCACAATGAGCAATATTCCAGCTATATGTCGGCGGACTGTTAACCTGGACAAGACAATCCAGTAGTTAGAATCATGCGCATAGATCTATGCAACTGGGATACGATGACATGCATCAAGTTCCCCAAAGCATGGGTTCACCAAACAAGGAAACAATTCTGACCCGGATCTTCCCGGGGTCACTCACTGAACAAAGACGTGTTGTGGCATGTGTAGCGATCCTACTCCGTAGAGAATGTGTTTAGCATGTAAATACATAAAAGACATGGTTAGGTTCAGGAATGTGTTTGAGTAGCCCAGTCGTCGAAGGAGCTGCGTTTCGCTGTGCAGAGTTGTGTCCCTTGGACACGCCAGAAACCTATGATTGTGGGTTCGATTCCCGGTTCGGCCCCATAATGTTTTTAGGTTTGTCAGCACCATACCCGTGCTCGTGGGTTCCACCGAAGTGGTAAACGTCTGAGACCTGCATCACTTCGGGCTTTCCTCCCACATTAAGCTGACACGCCGTGATATAACTGGAATAATGTTAAAAGCGACGTAAATCCAACTCCCTCACTCATTGATAGCACTGTGATGTTGCTGTATGACAAATTGTATATCTTTGACACAGGAAATGGAAGCTGACAATGAACGAATATCTCATTACCACGAAAAACCATCCGTTTTTGTGAGTCACCCCCGCACTCCTATATCCAAATCAAACGTTGAAAAGAAACATATAGAAAGAGCCCTTTTTTAAAAATCATCAACAGTGTATTTATGGATAACGGGTTATTCTTACATTAAGAACCATGTTACGTGTCGAACTCAAAGTTGAAACAATAACTTTACTCAGAAATCTATACCCGAATGAATTCAGTGTGAAACCAACAACCAACACAGGAAGCGCATACAATTAACAATTGTATGATAAAATTCACTAGGTTTTCAAGTCAATACTGCACAACAATTACAATGTACAGTACACAATTGAGTGTCAGTACACTATTCAATGCCAGTTCAATTACAACGGCAGTATAAAATGCAATGGTAATAATATCCACCAATAGCAGAGCCAATAGCAGCATCAGTAGTCTCGCATTCAGAATAGGCCTGACTGGATATCTGGCTTGAGATACACAAAACCGATGTAGTGAGATGGGAGGCACGCCCATTACCCCTTATATGGTCTAAATCCCTTCTCGAACTTCACATGACATGCTGGGTTAGTCCATGCTGTTCAAGAAGATTCCAGATAACCCTTGACCCAAAAAGCATCTAAGTATCGTAACTTCCACACCACTGCTTACATTAGATAGTACTATATTCTTAACTTTTGTTAAAACACAACGTTATGAACTTCAACTGATTCGTAACAGAAACAATGTACAGTAAACTACGGTTATAACGAACTCAAAGGGACCACTAATTTTAGTTCGTAATAAACGTAGTTCGTTATAAGCATACATACAACATTTTTCAACGAATGCCCTTGACTAACAACATAAGTTCGTTATATCGGTCAGTTCGTTATAAGCGTGTTCGTAATAAACGTAGTTTACTGTAATACAATTACAACATTGTTTGACAATACATGACATTGCCATACAACACCCGAAACATGTCAAGCTGTTAAACACAATCCCATTCATGTTTAGATCCTAAACACGTCACAGTCACTTGACAAGGAACGCATTCAGAATTTTGTTGAGGGTCAAAACATATTTTTACAGTCTACCTACCTTTGTTATTCGTGTGAAAACTCGTATCCTCACCACGTGCGATGTCAGTTATATTCAGGTTCAGATTCAGTTTATTCATATGTCCAGGCCATCTGACCCATAGTACATTACATATAATTATCTAAAATGTATAGTTGCATCTTAATGTCTCCTTTGATACAAAGAACTTTATCCCCCAAAATGACAACTTAAGCAATTGTTGTGAATTTGAAGATGTACATGATGTTGCTGCATCCAGTAGGGAATTAGAATTTGCTGGATATGTAGCAGCTTTAGAAATATTCTGGGCCATGACCAATGGAACTTCGTACAAGACAAAAACCTTGACTTAATATGGCAATGCAAATGTTCCCCCTGCTTATAACAGTGATGTCTTAAAAGCAGTCATAAATGTTTTCTCTGCATATTGTATTAACCTTATTTAATACGTAGGGTTTAACTTGTGAGACAAGTTCATCTCAGTACAGAGAAAACAACAACTTTAGACGAAGTCGATTCGGGTCATGGAGTAGCAATGATTATTCGTCTGGAAACATTAATGCAATACGCAAAGGGTCGACAATTGACGGATTTGTTCAGCTGAAGGGAATACCTGAATCATCCTAACATTGCTGTAAACTCTCCAGTAAAAGTGACGGGATGTTTATATGCCTCAGGTGACGGGGAAGACACACTGACGGTGTCTTCTCTTATTAATACAGTGAATGCTGCCTACAGTGTTACCGATAGTAGTCTCCGCGTTTCAGTGTCGTACAAGCAAGAACGTACCCCTGATACTGGCTGTGTGTGTGTTTATGTTGTGTAGACCGCCTCCGTGGTCTAGTGGTAGAGCGTCCGCCTGGTGAGCGGAAGGTCCGGGGTACGATCCCCGGTCGCGTCATACCAAAAGACGTTAAAAGATGGTACTTCTTATTACCCTGTCTGACGCTCGGCATTAAGGGGCTAAAACAAAGACTGGTCGGCTCGGAGTCAGTATACTGTGTCTGAGTGGGTTATTCATGTTAAACTGCGGCATGGTATCTCAGTGAGCTAGCACTATAAATCGGCATCAGTCCGGACTAGTACAAGCAGCCACACACACACATACACGTGCTTCCACATCGCTATATATAAGTGCAATAATCTTGGACGCGACGTTAAACCCAATTTCACCTCACCTTATGTTGTGTAGTACGAAATATATTCTACTCCTTATTTCCAGCCGCCCAGTTAGCAATAAAACAAAGGCCATACAAAACATGAACCAATGGTACGTGTACTCACGGACTTGTATAACTGGTCCGTGGTGTACTAGAAAGTACTGGAATCCTTACTTTACTAAGAAAGTGTTATCCCAAATATAACATTAGTTACAAGTGACCAGCTTCTAAATGGCAGTGTGTGTTAATAGCTTTCGGCCAAGAACGTAATCTAAACTACCAGTTGTTGGACCATTTTCTGTGGAAGTCTCGGTGGCTGTGTGGGTTAGATCGCTTACTTTGTGTGCCGGCAATTCGATTAAGTGCCAGAATCTGTGGGTTCGAATCCCGGGTGGAACTCAACCCCCAAAAAGTACAAGAATCTGTACTTTACTAAGGAAGTGTTGTCTCAAATATAACATTTTTGACGATGATTGGATTCACACACTCTTAAGGGACGCAACGTATATTTTAGTCGATTTCAGTGAAAGCGTAGACTGATGAAGTATTTTTATAACTGAATGGTGACTAATATATTCTAGATTAACGTACGTTCTATCAAGCGGAACGCCCAGCATGAGGTAGTATTAGAACGAAAACACACCTCGCCACTGTGGTCCGGTGATATGCATTATTTCATTTGGCAGCGTAATTACTTTCAAAGATAATATTTTCCTGGAACCAACAATAGAACTAAACCGTTGAAGAAGTTTTTCGTAAACAGGTTTAGCATACGACCATCGTGTTCATCCTTGTTTCGAACGCTTTGTTTAAGTTGACACAAGCACCCGAAGCATTTTAGATATCACAGCTTAATAATAATAGTAAAAATTAACATGTCAAAGTAAAAAGTCAAAATTACTGCTTGGGGATACCTTTTAATCTTGAAATGCGATTTTTGCATTAAATTTCCAAACTGCCTATAGTCATGTCACGAGGAATGTTTAAGCCATCATTAGCGCACATTCCACCTGATGAATCACATGCAGGATATCCTGGTAGCTGTGGGCTTAAAAAGAACATTTGAATGCTCGGCAACATTTAACTGGCTGTAATGTTTATTCATCAAGACGAATAGCATTAACCTCATGTTAAAAGGCTTTTACGACCAGACACATTTACGTCAAATGACATTACCGCCTTGACATTTACAATCCAAAAACTTTCAAATGGACAGCGCGCCTGTTTTTTTTAATTTAAGAAAGACATTTGGACAGTTTGTTAAATCAACAATCTTTTATTAAAAAAGCATGTCAGATAGAAGGAAAAGAACCGTACGGAAAATGGACACGATTACCACCTGAGATTTGCCGTCTCATGCCCTTTACCTCCTGAAACTTTAACGTCTAATGACGTTCTCCCACCTGAAATGTTAACATCTAATAACGTTCTACTTCCTGGTACTAATGTCTAATGATGTTATGCCACCTGAAACTGTAACGTCAAATGACGTCCTACCGCTTGAACGTTGATGTTTAATGACGATTAGCACCTAAAACATTTACGAATGACATTCTACAACATCAATCTTCAACGTCTAATGACGGTTACCACTTGGTGATTTTACGTCTTATGACTATTGCCTCCTGAAACTGTAACGTCTAATAAGGTTCTACCACCTAAGACTTGAACGCCTCATGACTATTACCCCCTGAAACTTTAACGTCTAATAAGGTTCTACCACCTAAGACTTGAACGCCTCATGATTATTACCTCCGGAAACTTTAACGTCAAATAAGGTTCTACCACCTAAGACTTCAACGCCTCATGACTATTACCTCCTGAAACTTTAACGTCTAAAAAGGTTCTACCACCTAAGACTTGAACGCCTCATGACTATTACCCCCTGAAACTTTAACGTCTAATAAGGTTCTACCACCTAAGACTTCAACGCCTCATGACTATTACCTCCGGAAACTTTAACGTCTAATAAGGTTCTACCACCTAAGACTTCAACGCCTCATGACTATTACCTCCGGAAACCTTACCGTCTAATAAGGTTCTACCACCTAAGACTTGAACGCCTCATAACGATTACCACTTTCAATTTTAACGTCTTATGCCTGAAACGTTATCGTCTCGTGGCTATTACCACCTAACACTTTCATGTATTGCGACGTTCAAAGATAATCCTTGCCTACAATAGCTTAATATAATTGCATTTGTATCAAAATTTACTAGCTATTCCTTGCCGATTTCACGTTTACTAGTTTTATTTCGCCAAATTAGAAACGACGTTTCTGGACTCCCGGTTTCCTGTGTAAGAATGTGCGAGAATCAGCAGAAACAGCAACTATTCGTTGCAATTGACGACCTGACCAAGAAGAAATCACCTAGAAATCAAGGGTACCATTTTAACGCGGTATCAACATGTAACTTACTTTTGAGGGAATGCTGTCCTCCCCGTGGCGTGTTCATGGTGGTGTGTCGAGGAGGCGGGAAAGTACCCACGTAGTTCACATAATGTCTCCTAATGTCCCTCGCCTCTGTCATGTCCGCTCCTCTTCAACTGTCAGGGATCAGGCATGAAGGCTCGTTGTGGACATTTATATACACACATTAGCATTTCTGTCTAGGCGTGTCGTGTTGGGACATTTGCCCATGTCATGAGACGGAAGGAATTTCACGAATGCTGTTGCGTACATTAAACGTTTGAGGTTTGCGCTTCATAAACTTTATGGTAATGATTTAATGATCGTGTAATCATTAAACAAGTTTAACGGAAACATGTGCTGTCATACGTCTTAAGATCTCGTGCACATAAATGACGGGACGTTTGCATTACATACAGAGAGAGTGTGAATGTGTTTGATAGCGTATTGTACGCTGAAATGTGGATTAGATTTTGTCACAACTGCATGTGGGACGCCGCACATTTATTGTCAAGGTAAAATACAACGTGACTGTGGTCTTAAAAGTTTTTTGATCAGGGTCACGTTCAAGGCTTTAGCAATCTTTCAAAATGTTTTACGATAGATATGTGGAGGATATTTCCCAACTTGACGTATCAGTGACCACAAAAATACATATTTTGAATCGTACCACATGTTCCCGTGTTTGTTTCACGTGAACAAGTCGACACTTCTTTAAGCAGAAAGGGCTTATGTTTGATTGTACATTTCCTTGTTGTTTAACGACGCACTCACCAATATTCCAGCCATATGACCGCGCACAGTAAATGTCGATTCTGGACCAGACAGTCCAGTGATGTAGATCTTGAGCATCGATCTACACACATGGGATACGATGACATGCTTCAATCAAGTCTGCGAGCCTGATCCCGTTAGTCGCCTCTTACGACATGCATAGGCTTGCTGACCAAAGACGTATTCTGACCCGGATCTTCAGCAAGCCTGTTAGTCGCCTTTTAATTTGCGGCAAGCATTGGTTGCTGAAGACCTATTCTACCTTGGATCTTCACGGGCCCCTAACCATCTAACTTACTAAATAAACCCTTACCAATATTACAAAATTTAACTATTTACACAGTTTCAAAATTTATCAATAAGTACAATATATATTACACAAACAAGAATTAAATGACAACATGATTAAAAAGATCCTTTATGGATGAAACCTTGAAATAATTATCCCTTGTGATGGAAATATTAACACTATCAATCAGGACATGCTTGACCGTGATTCTTTCATAACAATGAATTCGGAATGGAGGATCATCACCTTTCAATAAATATTCATCTGTATGTATCACGTTGCTAATACGACATGGTCGCATTTAGACTTCTTCAAATCTGGACTGACAACCCATGTAAGTGTAACCGACAGTTGATTTTATTGCATGCAATAATTATTAATTCATACCGACTTAGCTGTCCTACTTCAGCTGTATAATATCTCTGATGTGACGTCTTATAACAAGCCTATAATCACTGTAGGAGATCAGAAGTGGTGTCCCAGATTGGTTGAGTGCTGCGTTTGCTTTTGACCCACTGTGTTACCAATGATTCCATCATGGCTGGGAACCAACAGAAGACGATGTCGTACTGGCCAGTTTCAAGACCATTATGTAGTTGTGTCATTTCACGTAAAGGTGGATGTTGAAATATTCATAATGACCCGAAGACAAGAAAGGGAATCAGAAAATATAATAAACTGTATACGCTTAGGTTGAGTATTTATATATTTGAGAGCTGTTCATATTGCTTTTAATTCTGCTGTAAAAATTGAGCTGTCATTTTGTTAATCTTGATGATATGGTATTGGAACCAGTGACAGTGGCGCTAGTAACTGTGTCACCCTCCTTGGATCCATCTGTAAATTATTTGTAAGTATTGTTGGCGCTTGTCAATTGATTATTTTCTTGCTGATATAATAGTTGATTAGTGTCCAGATTTTTCAGAAATCAACACTGAATATTAGTAATTAAAATATTAGATTCCAAGTATTATGTTAATCTATTGTTGCCCATGCGTTCCCTGGTTTTGCAAACGCAACTGGTCAATGAAATCGGTCTTTAATTTGAGGGATCAGTATCCAGGTTTTGGTGTTGGAACTGTTATGGCATCACGCCAGGAAAAGGTAAAGTTTCCAGATGTCCAGATATTGAGGTACATAGCTAGATGAGGTAGAAAGTTTAACTTAAGTTTCACCAAGTTTATTACCAATATCTGAAGTAATTGTCACTTATTCACCCCCATATTTAAGATGGTGACTTCTAGATTTAGAACTCTTACCTTTGATTTTTGGATCATGTTCCACACTCTCGACATAGGCGTACGTGAGTTTAGTTTTGAAAAGATAATCTTGCCAAGACTGCATAGTCACATGAACAGCAACAGTTGGAGAGGGGCTCTGGTTGACACCTTGACACCAAGATTGAAGAACCTCAAGTGGTTTTAGCGTCCGGAGGTGAGAAGGATCGAAATGTTTTGTACAGCGTATCTGTGTTTATTTTTCCTGTATGTTTCCTGAAAACATAATGCTGATGTTTAAAATCTTGTACAAGTAACTATAAATCAACAAGATAATTGTGCAGTCCTCTGCAATTCCACAAAATGTTGTGTGAGCTACTCATGGGCTACTCATGAGCGGGACAGTGAAAGATTGACCTCCATCTCAAGAGGTTTAAATGGATTGTGAAACTTAATAGTGGTTGAAAGTGAAGAAGGTACGTCCAAATGCTTGAGATATCTGGCCTTTCGTCTCAATTGCTTGTTTGCTTTTTTGATAAATGGCCTTTATCCTGAACTATTCCAGTATCTTTGAAAATTGGATTCGGAGGCTATGTCTGATAAAGGCTGTGATGGGATACTGTTTGAGAGGCTGAAGATGATGTTCCAAACCTTTCTTGAGAAACTGGGGCAATGCCATCAAGGGTAATTTCCTGTTTTACCCACGAGATTGTTGTGTGACATGAAACAGATGTTTTGACTGGATTTGGACTTGGAGCTGAGTACGTTCTGGTTGTAGAAGATGGAAATTAGGATGGCACTAACTTGTGTGCTTCATAATATAAAATATTCTTAGTGCACTTGATTTTGAGACGTTTTGTTCGAAAAGTGTACAGGACTGAGGACGCCAAATGCTCTCTGTTGCAGTTGACACCCGTCAGAGAGTCATTTGTGCACACTGAACTCACGTGAGCTCCACAACGGTAGCATACAGTGTTACGCTTGCAGTTCTTGGCCCCGTGGACAAGCTTTTGACATTTGTAACATCGGAGTGGATTTATACACATACCTCATTTCCTATGTTGAAGTATCCAACTTTAACTAACTATATTTGGTTGGTGCATGCCATCGTATCCAAATTGCGTAGAACGATGCTCATGGCGTCAATCACTGGATTGTCTGGTCCAGACTCGATTCTTTACAGACCGCCGTCATATGGACGGAATATTGCTGCGTAGAGCGATACAACAAACAAATAAACAAACATTTTGCTGCAATCTCATGTTGGAGAGACAACGAGCGCGATCTCGCACGATGCCTCGACAAGAGTTCAGAGTTTTGTGTTCTGAAACAGCAACAGCAACATTGACTAATTGTCTGATGGCAAGAAGATTTAGATATTGCTGTTTTTTAAGGAGCCAGAACGGAGGCGAGTAACATTTTTCACTTCGCCACAACATCCATTGATAGCCTTAGAAAGGGCAAACGGGATCAGTTTGACTGGAGTATGGTCTGAAGCTACAATCAAGATGAATCGAGCCCATAAATACAAATTTATATCATGATCTTCATGAGATGAGCTGGCATCAATATGTCGTCTTTTGTTTTGGGGACATAATGAAAGAAAGTGGTTCTGCTCTTATGCTCCCCACCCAGCATCGAGTGTGAAAAGACTTATAATATAATACATTTGTCAGAATTCATGCTTTCCATGCACAGAGCATGGCGTGACCAGCCGATTGATTACACCGGGACAATTCTACCACCCGTCTAGGTGAAGTTAGAGTCGAAGCGGTGTATTGAGCAAAACACGGTTCCTGGCTCCAGTGTCACCAACCACCAGAATCCCGTCCTCCACCGACACAGGGGCGCAACCCTCAGCAAACAGACCCGTGAAGATCCGGGTTAGAATAGATCTTCAGCAACCCATGCTTGCCGTAAAAGGCGACTATGCTTGTCGTAAAAGGCGACTAACGGGATCGGGTGGTCAGGCTCGCTGGCTTGGTTGGTGCATGTCATCGATTCCAATTGCGTTGATCGATGCTCATAATATTAATCACTGGATTGTTTGGTCCAGACTCGATTATTTACAGACCGCCGTCATATAGCTGGAATATTGCTGAGTGCGGCGTTAAACAACAAACCAACCAAACCAAACCTCAGCAAACAGGTTGCCCAATTCGGTCGACTCTGACGACCAGCAATGGGATGTTGGGACACATTCAACTCCGGGTCACCAGGGGTTCCTCTTCTGGAACATTATTGACACTAAACACGGATTACTACAAGAGTGTGTGATACTGATACTGGATGCAGAATTGTATGATCCGCTGCAGTCAAGTAGAATCTGAAATATGTCGAGACGCATACAGAGGCAACAATAACGAGATGACGCCATAGGAGTGAAGAAGTCGGGTAGCCCAGTGGTTAAAGCGTTCGCTCGTCACGCCGAAGACCCGGGTTCGATTCCCGACATGGGTACAATGTGTGAAGCCCATTTCTGGTGTCCCCCCGTGATATTGCTGGAATATTGCTAAAAGCGGCGTAAAACCATACTCACTCACTCATTCACTGTATTTTTGAACTGACTGTCACTTTGTTTGAGTTCGTTTGGGGTATGAATCTGGGTAGAGTGATGATATTAACTGTTTGGCTCAAGCTCTGAAAAGTGTATAATCCAATGAACTCATACAACATGAAAATATAAAAACTAAACGCCAAATAATAACCAGTCTCGATTATCAAAAGAACAGATTCCACTGGGCGTAAAAGGAAATGCAAAATAGCGGTGAACATTATATGAATGGATCACCGAAAATCAGTGAAGATGCCAGGTGTTAACGAAAAGGGTAAAAATGTACTGCGAGTAAATTCTTGCATTTTTAAACCCCTATTTGGTATCTT